TAACCGCCTGCGTGAAGGCTCAACCACCTAGAAGAGCAGTTCGTGAGACCCTGGAACACTGTGTTACTAGCATCTAAGTCACCCCACAGTTTTGGGGCAGCTACATTGTGAATGGGGAGTGTGGGGCTGAGGGCCCTGTATGTCTGTCCCTCACCTGGCTCCTGGCTTTATCAACATAATAGGAATGCATGTCCCAAATCTTTGTGTTCTACATGGGCAACAAGAGAGTGGCAGGCACTGAATGCACATACATTTGTAAATAACAAGAATGACATGGTTGCCCCCTGTTATCACATATCAGAGCTGAGGCTAAGAGACTTGAGATTGACAGATAGAACGTCTGCATTCCCACACCCAGCTGTGCTTCCTCTGTAATAGGTCTGGCTCCGGATCAGCCTTCAGAGGGCTTAGCTTTCCCTTCCTCAATCTTCCCCAGTTGTCCAGGCGGGGTGAGGCTGCCCCATTTCCAGACTTTCTCCTCGTCAGGCCTATTATTCTAAACTGTGGTTTTCCACAGTCCCTATGGGACTGGACTTGGGGAAGAGGTCCACTTGGCACAGATGGGCCCCAGGAGGCCACATCCACGGCATGGGATAGAAAGCTGAGGGTGCAGAGGGTGAGGCTAGGTAGGCCCTGGGTGAGGAGTGCAGAACTGGGTCGGACAGGACGCCAGACCTCCCCCTTTCCGGAGCTCTTTCTGCTCAGGTGAGCATGTGAAACCTGGTGGCACTGCTTGGCCAGCCGGGAGCCCAGAGCTGCCTTGTGTACTGGCAAGACCAGGTGGTGTGGTCGGGGCTACCAGCGGAAGCGTGACTGAGTTCACGGGCAGACAGAATCTGACACAGGATGCCACAGAGAGGGTGTCAGGGGAGTTTGCCATGATGACTGAGGTCTGGGTCCCTGTTGGCGGTGGGCACCCCAGAAAATTCCACCAGGCCTGTGAGGGTGAGTGGGTGAGTGATAGGAAGGAGCAGATACGGATAGGTCCCAAGGACAACAACCTTGAACACTGTGCCCCATTCTGAGTGAATTGGGACCACAGGCCTACAGGGACCCATCAGATGGGGCCCAGAGACCCACCCTTAAAGCCATAGGGTCCCTTTTCTGCACACTCCCGTCAGCAGTCCTGGGCTGGCTCTCCCACCCCAGCCCTAGTGGGGCCTCCCTTGTCCTACCCGGGCTCATTTCCCTTCCTGATTGCAATCAGCCCAGTTTGCAGAGGAGGCTTTCCCTAGGCTGGGCTGATGTAAACACCAGCGGTAGAATCACTTTTGTACAGGAGGCCAGGCTTCTCCCAAGGGGTTGGGCATGACTATGGCCTGCAGAGAAGGAGGGGGTTCCTGTGATTTGACCTGAAGCAGCTCCTTTATCACCAAGGCAAACCTCAAAGGAGACTCCCAGAGGAGGCCCAGACTCCTGGTTGCCCTGAGAGGTCACAGAAGCCCTGGGGAGGATATCCGGTTGTCCCCTCCAGCAGCAGCTGAGCAGACCCTCTGAAGCACGTTTGCTTTGTGGAATGTAACTGTGTTCTCTGCACAGGAATAAGCCCTGGCTTGCACTCAAAGGGTGTCTCCAGGGGGACTGGGCCCACTATCTCCTGCCTGGCTGTCCTGCTCCTTCCTCTGCCCACCATGGCCTCATCCCCCTGCCTCAGGGGCCCTCCGCTTTGGACCAGAAAGGCTTTGGATTCTCCCAACCTGTCCTTTAAGCCCAGGCTACCAGCCCCTTCAGGTCATCCCCAGGCAGTCAGCTCACAGACTCCCGACCAGGGCACGCTCCGTGCCTCTGACCCCACCTCCCTAAGCCTTTAGGAGCTGACTTCGCCTCCTATTTCACAGGGGACACAGAAACCACTTTCTTCTCCTGCCACCAAACCAGCAGACACAATCCATTATACCCTCCCTGCTGGATGGACGGGGCCCACCCAGATGGCTTTTCCCTGAGCCCTCTGCTCAGGTGAGCATGTGACGCCCAATGCTGGGAGCCTTCCTGGTGTGCATGCCCCTCGGGCACCCACTGCGCTGGCCCGCCACCCAGCTGTCCAGCCCATTACCTCCAGCGGAGAGATCTCCAAGCTTCCCTGTCTGGAAAGATCCTTCTCTGACTCCTTGACTCCTCTAGCTGCCCCCATCTCTCCCCTTCCTTCAGAATAAAACTTCAAAGCATCTACTACCCTCTGTCCCACCTTCACTCATTCCTCAGCCCATCGCCACCAGCTTCTACCCTCACTACACACTAAAATGGCTCCCCCAGAGGCACCAGTGTCCTCTGGTAAAAAATTCCAGTGGCTCCATCTTATCCTCACCGTACTGGCCCCCTCCTGCCAGCCTGCATCACCCCTTAATCTATTACTTTCTGGTGCTCAGCGTCTGGAATCAGACCTGCTTGCATTCAATCCTGGTGACGTCACTTCCTAGCTTTGGGGAACTCAGCTACCCTGAGCCTCAGTTTCTTTAGCTGCGAAATGGTGGTAATAATAATACCTGCCCCATAGGCTCACTGTAAGGATTATATGAGTCAACCAGGGAAAAGCACTGAGTGCCCAGCATTTGCTAAGTGCTGCTCAGTGGACGTTAGCTGTTCGAGTCTTTACCACCATGCAGTTCTCTGCCTCTGCACCAGAATCCACCCAGTGTAGCCTCCCCACCATTGATGGTCCAGAGAACTCCCCCACCCCCTCGCTGGCCACCCTGCTGTCCTGACTCTTCCTGGCCATTCTCCCCATAGTGGCTAGACTGGGCTTCCTGGAACCCACACTTTCCAGGGCCACACGCCTCCCTGGCTAAACACCCCACAATGCTTCCAATGCTCCTACCATGAGGCCTAAAACCTCCTTCTCCTGATAGCCTTTGTATGTATTTCTAAAACAAGAGACAAATACTATAAATGCCAAAATTTCCAGCAGCAATACTCCGGTTTTCTTTACTATAATGCACTACAAAGTGAGGGCTTTAAAAGGAGCATTTGCAGGAATGTTCAGCCTCCCTAGCTTCAAAATCGACTGAACTTTAAAATTCCCTTTTAAATTTCCCAATTTAAAGTTGAATTTAAAAAAAATAGAGGTTTTTCTCTGTAAGAAATCACATGTTTTTGTGCTCTGGTTCCCTAAAACTTTTATATAGAAAATAACACCAACCCATGGTTGAATAGTGAACCCCCTGTGTCTCCGGGGCAAGGACCCCCAGCCCTACCCAAGCTGAGTACTTTCTATTTTTTTTTCTGCTTTTAAACTCAAAGTCTAATAGGGCAGACAGGAACAAATTATAGTAATACAAGGAGCAAATGTTGTATGAGGCCTAAACAAATTATGTTGGGAGAGCAGATGATAATATCTCACATTTATTAAGCTCTTATGTTATGACTTGAGTATTTTATTTATTTATTTGTTAGAAAGAGAGAGAGAGGGCACACAAGCAGGGGGAGTGGGAGAGGGAGAAGCAAGGAGCCCGATGCAGGACTCGATCCCAGGACCCTGGGATCATGACCTGAGCCGAAGGCAGACACTTAATGACTGAGCCACCCAGGAGCCCAAGTTGAGTATTTTAAGTCAGAACTTCTGCAATGTCATGGGAATCCACCCGAGGGTCTTGTGAAAATGCAATTTTTGATTCAGAAAGTCTGGCGTGAGGCCAGAGCGTCTGCACTTCCCACAAGCTCCCCACTGAAGCAACAGTTCTGAGGTCCAAGATGAGAGGAGCAAGGCTGGCTGTCAGCCTCTCCCCACAAGACTGTGAGTTTCCGAAGGAGAGGGACCAACTCTGTTCTATTCCCAGGGCCTACACACAGCAGCTGCTAATAAAAGTTTGTTGGATGAATGATGCCTAGTGAGTACCGGGCCGTAAGGTTCCCTGTGTGTTGCCTCATTTCACTGTGCCTCCGAGAGCCTCCCCATGCTCTGCGAGGATGCTCGGGGTCCAGGTCCGGGACCCTCCTGGCCTGTGGCTGAGCGGGGAGCCCTGCATACCAGCTACGGGCATTATTCTCTCAGCCCTGCCTTGAGCCACAGCTTCCTCACCCTGCCTCCTCTGAGGCCACATCCTGGTCCTTGTCTTTACCAGATCTGTTCCCTGCTTGGAGGCCTAAAACCCGCCCCCCTGTTCCCCTGCCTCAGCATAACCTCCTATCCTTCATCTCCCCACCATGACTGTATCACATCTGGCTCTTCCATCCCGCCTCTCCTGTTCCGCCGCCCCAGTCCTAGTTATCTCAAAGAAGTCTTCCCCACGCTCTGCCACGTGCACCCCTTTGCCAAAAGCCCCTGTCCTGGGCCTGTGGTGGGGCCTGACATGCCTCCTGGGGCAGTGGTCCCCCTCTCCCTTCAGGGGCTGCCTCTGGGCCCCCCACCCTCCTGGTTTCCCTACTTCTTCTCCAGCTGCTACTCTGGTTCTCTAGGGCCTCCTCCACGGTCTATCCCTGCCCGCTTCCCCACTCCGCAAAGCCTTCCTACTGGGCCTGGGCCTGCCTGGGATCCAGACCCCTGCAACACAGCTCTCTCCGCTGTCTGCCAGCCCCCATCACTAGAGACCCAGCTTGAAGCCCAAAGTTGCCCTCCCCTCTTCCCTGCCTCATCCCTCATGGCTTCCAGTTCCACCTCCTAAAGCTTCCCAGGCCAGCCCTCCCTCCTGTTTCCCAGGGACAATTTCCTCAAAGGCCCCTATCCTCAGGTCCCTGAACCCAGCTCCTCCGCGCTACCAAAGGGACTACCCAGGGCTTGCAGCCAGGCCTCCGCTAGAGGTTAAGATCCCATAACACAGGGCAGAGTCAGGCTGTCAGACCAATGGAAAAAGAATGGGCATCTGGTGCCTGGGCTCCATCTGGCCACCCGCCCCCGCCCCCCGCAGCCCCCGGCCCCAAGGAACAGAAAGTGCTGAGGAGAAGCAGTGCAAAGACCATGGGGCAAACCACTGGGGGCTTTAACACCAGAAACTCAGCACTGGGGTGGGGGGTGGTCAAGAGATGTGCTGAACCCACACATGAACAGTTAGCTGTGTGGCCGGCTTCCAGACAAACTCTTGTCTGTTCCAGTGGGCCTATCCCTTGGACACCCATACAGGACCAGGCAGTGCCAGGCGGGGTGGGCAGCAGAGGATCAGAGCTGTCCAGGGGATGGCAGGACCAGGTGCCACGGGGCAGGAAGCTTGAGGAAGCTCAGAATCAGGCAGCCCCTCACCTGTCAGAGGGATCCTCTCACCTGTTCCCACTCTGCCCAGTGGCCAGCCCAGCTCTTCTCTCTGGCAAGAGGAGGAGATAACCTCTGAGTAATTCTTTTTTTCCAAGTTCCACTGATCTCCAGTACTAGAAGGTGATGAATAAGTCTGTGGTTTGCTATGGAGGTTCCATGTCAGATAAAGATTCTTCTGACGTCCGCCCCGCTCGTCAGGGTGTAGGCACAAGGCCTCGGTGTATAAAAGACAGGAGACCGTGTCGCATGCTTCAGAATGCCACAAGGGACCAGGACAAGGCAGAATACACCCTGTAGCCCAAACATGAACAGCCTCCCCATCCTGCATCTTCTCCTGTTCCTGCTTGGATTCCAAGCCCCACAGGCACAGGGGCGGTCCTTGTCAACATACCAGCCTAAGCAATACTTCAAGATGATCGGTGAAATTATGGACATCTTAAACACTTCACCCTCGCCTTCAGAAGTGAGTAACTGGGAAAAGGTGGGCAGAGGGCGGAGAGGGGCTTGCAGGTGTCTCAGGCCAACAGGACTCACGGCTCTCTCTCCTTCGGCCCCCACAGGAAACCTTGGACCCAAATGAGACAAACACCCTGCTGGTAAGCACTCAGCCCACACTTGGGCACACCTGGATCCCAATCTACTTTCTGCCTGTCACCCCACCTTGCCTAGCCACAGTGTTTCCTCTGCCAACAGGGTTAACAGTGTGTATCTCAGTGGGGTCACTGTGAGAATTATGTGGAACCAATGCATAGAGTCACCAGACGAGTGTTAGGTGCTAACAAGTGTTCAATACATTTCCCCAGCCGGGTCTATAATAGGAAAATGCTTTTTTTTTAAATTACAAATGAAAAGGCAGCTATAGGTGAACAATTCCAAAGGCCTTAAGCTCTTCATTTTTCAGTGGGGCAGCCTAAAATTTCCCCCATGAACTTGCCTGCTTCCTTCCTTTTCCTTGAGACACTGAATCCTGTTTCTCATGCTGACTGGCCCTGGGCATTATCGTTTACACTTATTTTTCCTAGTTGCAGTTGGCTTCCATGGTTATCTCACTTTTGTTTGCATGGCAATCCTTGGGTCCAGCAGGAGGTTGAATCTCTCCTGAGTTTATTAGCCATGTATATCCCCCTCTTTTAAGCATGCATAGTTCACAGGCTGCACCCATGTCCCGCTGGGGTTGGGGTCTCTGCAATTTTCTTCCTGATTTCTAGGAGCCCTTCATTCAGTCAAGGCATTAATCCTGTTATCTGGCCTCTTCGCTGCAAATACTCCCCTTGGCCAGCCCTCCACCTTTTGTAGATCTTCTTTTGGGCAATACTTTCCCCCCAAGTGCGGAAAGATCCACCCAGACCCTGTGTGCAGCTTCTCTGGAGCCAGGGGCTTGGGGCTGAGGGAAGTAGGCCTTGCTTGGGGTATACACTCACCTCGAGGCCTGTACCCTTAGGGGCATCTCAGGGACCCACCTGGGGCAAGAAGGGGACTAGGAGGGGATTGTCCAAGGATGTCCCTGAAAGCAGACTTGGAAAACTGGGGATGACCTCAGCCATAGGAAGGCTGAACCCCAACCTTCTCCTCTTACATGTATTCTCGGTCCCCTTAGAATACTACTCTTCTGAGGCCAAACCTGGATGCATTCTTGAATGCTACCAAAAATTTCTACAACAATGAGTCACTAATCTGGAAAAATCTTAAGGTGGGTAAAGCTGTTGAGGGTTTTGGGGATCCCTGCTTTGGCCCTGACCAGCCTCTGGGAAGGGGAGGCAGGGCCTGCTCCTTTTCCAGGCAAGTCTCTGACTGTCTGCTTTGGTCTCTTCCCACAGGAATTCCTGCCACTCCTGCCCAATCCCACATCCAGGGTAAGCTGACCCCCAACATGCCCCTGCAGGTGGGACTCAGCCATGACTTGACCGCTAGCCTGTCATCTACCTTCAACCTAATGCCACCTTCCTGGTTTCTTCACAGGGAGAACCAATCTATATTGAGAATAACTGGGATGATTTCCAAAAGAAGCTGAAAAAATATCTGGAAGCCCTTGATAAGTTTCTTTCAAGAACAAGCACTGAGTCCTAGAATTCTCAGTCGGATGTCCCTCTGTCTCTGGGCCTTCTCACCATGGGGCCTTGGATATCAGACACGGCAGGACACCTGAATACTCTGGGATGTCTCTCACACAATCCAGGACTGGAGGGATTTCATTTTCTCTGGTGGAGTTAGATGGATTGTTCATGATCTAATTTCTGAAATGTGCTGCCCCCTTTTGGCCTTTTGTGATAATGTTCTCATTTTAATCCTATTGAAATTATTTATTGATGTATGTTTTTATTTATTACCTTATGCAATATGAAGTGTATTTATTTTAGAAAAGGAGCCTATGTCCTGCTCCTTCTAAACAAGACTCAAGAGGGGGACTTGGGGCTTGTTCATTTGTACCTCAGGTTTTAAACTGATTTCTACACATCTGGGAAAATAAACCACACTCTCTGAACAACTGCTTTGTTGCCAGTGTCTCAATTTGACTCAAGTCTTAGTAAACCTCTTGCCTGATGACTGAGCAGCCCTCCACCCCCCACCCCCAGCAAGTCTCCCTGCCACCGGACGGGCCCTGGAACACACACCCTGGCAATCTGTGGTCTACTGGGGAGCCAGATTGAGTTTTAGAAAATGCAAATCTGACCAGGTTGGTCTGATACTTAATTTCCCAGTCCTCAGAGATTTCTGGACCTTGTCCTTAGCCTTAAGGTAGCAAAAGAGGCCTTCCTCCACCTGTTGTTTCGATTTCCTTATGCCTACAACTACCAACGCCCTTGATGTGCCAGCCAACAGAAGCACTGTGGCTTCCGGGATGAACCACACACCATTCTTGATACCTCTAAGCTTTTACCCACACCGACACCTCAGCCTCAAACGCCCTGATCCTGACTCCACATGGTGAGTTCCTACTTCAGAGACCAACTCAAATGCTGCCTACTTCTGCTGTCCACACTATTCCAGGACAGAGCTCTTGTCTGAAATAGGTAGGGAGACAGGGACCCACTGGAAGGACAGCCATGTAGCCCAGGGCAGTGCAGACAGATGGGGATGGTGGAGCCTGGGAGATCACTGAGTATGGTTTCATTGTGCACCTGACCCTTGATGTCCCAGGGACCCTTTGGCCCTGAGTGCCTCCCTCTCTGGCTCCCCGGCATCCTACATCTCTTCCAGTCTGGTCTTGTGGGGCAGAAAGGGGAGAGCGAGGCTTCCTCTGTCACCACGCTAAGGACCAATGTCATCCCCTCTGACTCCTCACAAGTCCCATAAAGTCTTTGGATGCCAACACCAGATGCTGGGGGCCAGGCCCTCTTCTTTTCTGTTTCCCGCCTTGATCCACCCCTCCCCTTCCATGCTGGGTAAGGAACAGTCCAGCTGCTTGAATGGGACAGCAGGAGGTCAAAGAGGGATCTGCTACTACCTCAGAAATATGTTCCTCCACATTCCTCCTCCTAATAAAATTTTGTGTTCCCACAAAAGTAATTTTCTTCTCCCCTCTCTCCAGCCTGGCCCATGGACAGCACCATGGGTGCTCAGCGAAGACTCTGTGTTGCCCTGGGCGGTGGGAGGAGCTGGAGAAGCTGCTGCAGTTTCTGGTGGAGCCACTAGGGGGAGCCGGGCCACTGGATGAGAGTGTGCCCAGAGAGTCCGGGTCCCCAGCCGGCTTTCCCGCTTCTCCGGCTCCCCTGCCCCCCTCGCTCTCCCACCCGCACCTGGCGGCTGGTCCTAATTTCATCCTGGCTGAGACAAGCATTTGTGCCCCACTCCCATGTGCCCGGGATGAGTGCCTGCTTGTCACCTCCTCTTCGCTCCCTGGAGAGTGGGTTCGCAACCCTCCGCCTCTGCCAGCCCTGCTACCCTCTGTCCTGGTGGAGAGGAGATGGACCGTGGCCTGTCCTGCCATGCTTCTCCCACGCCTCGTCCTCAGCAGGCCAGAGCCGATGGTGGATGGAACCAGCTCATACTGGCTCACAGAGCCAATTGTTCAACCTTTTAACAAGTTGCCAACCAGTTATCAAACCAGCTGTAGCTTGAGATTGGGCCCAGTGACAGTATTTACACTATGGACATCGGGAAATGCTACAACGTGGACTCCTTCCACGGGGAATCTGTTAACTTTTACCAGCTGCTGGAGCTCCTCTCACCTGGCAGTCTGCCATTTTGTTCTTACCTGGCTGTCCCCATTCAGGGCCCCTTCTGGAAGCTGCACACTGTTCTCACTCCAGGCTGGATGGCACAACACTCCTTCGGTGCCTCGGGATTCATCCATTCAGCAAACTCTGGCTGGGCACCCATGTATCAGGGCTTGTCCTGGATGCTTGGGGTTATGGCAGTGAACTAGCCCGATGGAGCGGGGCTGGGGAGGTTGCCTTTCATTGAGTGGTCTGGGAAGGCCTTTCTGAGCAAGTCACACATAGGTTGCAACCTGAATGAGGAGAAAGTGCCCGCGGTGTGACAACACGAGGAAAGAGCTCTGGACAGAGAGAACAGTGCAAAGATCCAGAGACTGAAATGGGCCGAAAGCATTCACAGAACAGAAGGAAAACCGTGATAGGAGCGAATGCTGGTGGAGAGCCCACAACCCTCCTTCAGCCTCTTCCCTTTCCCTCCTCAGGCCCAGGCCCTCTTTGAGTACCTAATGACTGAGGTGGGAGCGAGTGTCAGTCAGACACAGACCTGGTGCAGGTAGATCTGGGGGGAGGGGGGTATTAGAGGGGGAGGGGAGCTCCGCAAAGACAGGCCCAGAAAGCAGCGGGGAGACAAGTGGCGGTGACATGCGCAAGAGGAGGTGAGCCTTTTCAGATACTCTGGGGTCTCCCCTTCTTACAGAACAGTCCAGCCTGCTCCAGGTTGGATTGGGATGAACATGGGCCTGACCCACTGAGGCTCACCCTTGATCCCAAACCTCAGATCTTGCCTGGGGCCAGCACAGCCCTGGGCTGGGGCCTGGAACCAAGTGGTGGTCAGTTCCCAGTCAGGTTGGGGCCCTTCTATACCATGCTCAGGCACCTGCTGGGAGAGGTGGTGACTCCTTGGCCTAATGGGAGGCCCGGGGTACTCACATTTCCCCTGCAGGTCTGTTAGTTTCACATCTTCTCTCTGAGCCTGCCCAGAGCTCCTTAGTGCCAGGTCTGTAAGTCCATTCGCCACCAGTGGGCAGCAAAGCCCCACGTGGGCAGTAAGTCCCACGAAGACCCTCTGAAAGTCAAAGTTCCCACCTTCACAAATCCAAGGTGCCTTTTCAGCCGGAAAGTAGATGACCTCAACCAGGAATTTTATTTTTTATTTTAAGAAATATTGTAGCTTTTCATCAGAAGGGCAATATAAGAGAGCATCTATGCTCTTTACTAAAAAACTTGGAAATACAGAAAAATCAAGCAGAGAGAAATTGCTAGGAAGGCAAGCCTGGAAGGAGAGGACCCCTCAGACAGACATTGGCACCTCACTCCATAGAGAGAACCCTCCTGCTTCAGGAGGGGCTTTGCTCTTCCCGCACTGTCCTGGAAACTGCATTTGACTCAGTTCAGTAAATACCTGGAGGACTTTCCACGGCTTCCTAGGCTGGGGCCAGGGCTTGGGGAGATGCTGAGCCACGCTTGGCCATGTACCCAGCACAGTGCCGTGGGGGTTATTACAGACACAGTGATGGGTGAACAGGTACAGGTCTTGTTAAAGGGGCTTCCCACAGACGGTGATGCACAGGGAGATTGAGAAAGGACTAGGGGTTCATCTTGCAGAGAGATGTAGGAAAAAGGATGGCAGGCAGATGACACTGGCGAGCAAGGGACTGAAGATCTAAGACTACAGGGTAAGCTGGGAGCACAGGGAGCATCCAGGCCACTTATAGGGCCAGAGTGTGTGTGTCAAGTGGCTCGGGGGAACCAGGTCCTCCAGATCTCCCTTGGTCACTGCCTTTGACCCCGGAGCCCAGTCACCCTGGGCCTCGGGCACCTCTGGGTCTCAGCCTGGTCCCATCCTCCATTCATTCCTCTCTGATCCTAGGACAGCCCGCCTGGCCTGGACACTGTGGAGACAGCAAGACCGAACAACCATGGCCTGAGAAGTGGTGTGTGTACGGATGGAGAGGGAGGGGTTGGTGCCACACTGGACGCCACGTTTAATGTCCACAGGAAGGAGCCAGAACGGAGGGAGAGAGATGCTGAATGAAAGGGGAGCAGCCAAGCAGAGCAGGATCCTTGGGCCCAAGGTGGGCAGGAGGGAGAGGCAGAGGCTGTGTGGGCCAGAGTGGAGGACTGAGTGAATTCCTTCTGGGGGCCAGGGCCTCAATTCTTCCCTTGAAAATCTCCCGTCAGGTTTATGGAGGGGGAGATGGAGCAGGCAAAGTTGCTGCTGCCCTCCTGGACTGAGGAGGGGCTCAGGGAATCCCCTCAACGACCCCATCAAGTCTACACTTAACCCCATTTTACACATGAAGAAACGGAGGCACAGAGAAATTAAGGGAGTCTGACTGCAGAGCCTGTGAATCCTTAAGCCGCAGTGCTCTGGCCAATGTCCACTGAGGCACGGGAGGCTTTCAGGTCTAGTCCCCTGGCTGGACCCAGTCCTCTAGAGGGACCTCCCAGCTCTAGAGCCTCATGGTTCCAGCTCCAGTGGCAAGCGGTACAGCCACAGAGCCTCAGCTCCATCTTTCCCTCACCGAGCCCCCAAACATGGATCACCCAAACCCTCCACATGCCCACCGCCCCTCCCCCTCCCCAGCGCCGCCCATGTACACACACCCTGGGGCTTAGATCCAGAGCTTGGCCCTCCATGCTCCTGTCCGTGTGTCCCCCATCCCCATGCCTCATGGAGCTTCTGAGAGAGACACCACTGGCTCACTTCCTCAGACAGCTGCTCCCAATCCCAGCTGTCCCCGGGACTTCCTTCAGCGGGCACCATGCAAGTGTCCGGACCAAGCCCTGCCCCAGAGGGCACACGGGCTGTGCAGAGACCACCCAGGGGCAGCCAAAGACAGCAGGCTGTGTGGATGAGGATGTGCCCCTCTGCAGTGGCCATGTCAGGGAGGCGTGGGGAGGGCGGCC